TTTAGTTGGTTGTAATCTGCAACTTCACCGCTAGATGCCACCAAATCCTACACACTGGTCCTTTAACTGCTGCCTTGTATTTCATCATTCGACCAACTTTGTTTGACCTTTCAACCATTTCACTTGAACTGTTTTTAAAGGATTAAACCTTTAAAAGCATGTAATAGACATCCTGTATTTTTATTGACATTCTGAACAGGTCCATCAGATGTTGGCAGTGGTGATTACGGGCGTTACATCACAGATTCAAAGATCAAAGATGAAGATGGCTTCGACATTGACGACTCTGATTATGATATCTTTATTGAAGAGGTGGGTTTTTACATTCTGCAATAAAGATTTTAGGTGTATTTAATCTTCTTAATCTAATTTAACACGTGAACACATCATTGGACAATCAATCAACACAAATGCAAAGTATACTTCATCACCCACATCTGTTTATTTCTTTCCTCTATTCTTTTGCTACCTAGTTGAAGCCATTCCCTGGTATCAATGAGGACAACAGAAAGTCTCAGCTCCGCTCACGCTCTGGTCCGCCGTCTGGTCGGAACGTTGTTTACCGTATGAACACCATTGCTCCTCCCAACGTTACTGCCCCTCCAGCTTCGTCCTCGTCCATCTTTCCAGACTTCACAGATCTGGTATTCCCAACCACCTTAGAGTCGAGTACCACTATGGACACCACCACTTCTGCCCCACTCACCACTACCAGGTAAGATGTTCCTTAAAAACCTTGATTTACCTTGACATTTGTTTTACCAAAGGAATCTGGTTTAGATTGATAAGCCTTAACTGCTGTTTGTCAACAACAGTAAGAAGTAAAACATGTCCAGTACAGGTGTTTCCTTTCTATGAAGAAAAAAAAAAGGTGTATCGAGAAGTTTTTTTTTTTTTTAATTCTCAACAAAATCACCATTCTTATTCTGTCCCTCTTGCTCTGTGATTGCTAGATTGCCGTCTCTTCCGGCTTTCTGCTTTCCACTAGAAGCCACCCACAATTTATCTTTTTTTATGCTCTGCCACTTAATTATTTGATACAGATGGAGACTGGAGCAGTAAAATGTCACAAAAATTTAGGCTGTCGTTCCAGTTGTAATGTTCAGTATGTCATTAACTGCAGAAAATACAGGGAGGTCTAACTACAGTTCTATTGAATTTGGGTGAAAACTTTGCTTTTTGCTGCTTGATCTATTTGATTCTTCTCATAAAAAACAGAAGAAAAATGTATCTTCAAGGAAAAGGGACAATTTAGAAATTCAAATTTTACCTTTAGATGAACCTGAGGACAGAACGGATCATGCAATAAATACAAATACAAAACTGCATTTGAAAGTGAAACATAGTTATTAACTAAATCACTGACTATGCACTGTGAAAACCTTGTTTTGTCAGAACATTGAGCACTAATCCTTCTTATCTTTCTTCGCCTTCTGATCCACATTAGCGTCACTGTGCCCACCACCACCACCACCCCAACCATGTCCCCCTGGAAAGGTGAGGTACCTCGTGTGTACGACCTGACATGCGATGACACTGTGTGCCCCCCTGACAGCTTCTGTCTTAGTGATTACGACAGTGGAGGCTCGCGCTGCCACTGTAACCTCGGGCGAAGAGGGGACACTTGCTCTGAGGGTAAGAGAAGTGTAGTTAGTTCTAAGCTTCAGTAAAATAGCTGTGGGATCACAGTTCTTTGTGGTTGCACTCCAACATTTTTGTACCTACAGACATTTATCATGATTGTATCCTTTGTTCTTCTTCAGTGGTACCTGTGAACTTTCCCAGGTTCTATGGCTACTCTCACATCACCTTTGAACCCTTGAAGAATTCTTACCAGACATTTCAGATCACTTTGGAGTTCAAGGTAAAGGCAACATGTAGTTTTCTTTTCCCACTGTCATTCAAAAGGGTGAAAAGAGGGTTAACAGTTTCTTTGTGGTACAGGCAGACTCCGAGGATGGCTTGTTGCTATACTGTGGAGAGAATGAACATGGCCGTGGAGACTTTACCTCTTTGGCTCTGGTGCGAGGCAAACTGCACTACAGGTGAAGAAAACAGTGACTCATTCATGGGTTTACATTTTCAATAGTTTGGCTTTAAAATGTAAAATATGTGTTTTGGAGAAAACAAGAGTTTCATGAATGCTGGAAAACAATTCTTCAAAAGCATCAAAGAGGAAAACTGATGAACTGCTTGTAAGAGCCAGTTTATAAAGGATGGCTGATGTATTTATGGCTATAATACTGTTTTTCCATTTGATTTAATGGTGCAGCCATAAAAAAATTGGGCCTTGAATTTATTTTCAGCTTTCAGTGTTAGAACAAGCAGATAGGCAATACATATGTGATTTAGTGCTGAAAAAGCTGTTTAAATTTAAAGAGAGGAATTTAAAGGTCCAGTGTGTGACATTTAGGAGGCTCTATTGGCAGAAATAGAATGTAATATTCATTGATATTATTTCATTAGTGTATATTCATCGCATTTTTGTTACCTTAGAATAAGCCGTTTTTATATACAGAGGGAGCAGGTCCTCTTCCATGGAGTCTGCCATGTTTTTACCAAACACTGGTTCTAGATAGGGCTTTTGCGTTTTTACCTACACACTTGTAAGATTGAGCTGTATTTCAAGTTGCAATCTGCAACTTCACCGCTCAATGCCACTGAATCTTACACGCTGGTCCGTTAAGGACTAAACTAGAGTTAAATAGGAAAAATATGCTTTTCACAGCATTTTTTTTTTACATGTCAGCATACAGTATGTAACAACTGTTGTCCCTCAGGTTTAACTGTGGTACAGGAGCAGCTCAGATAGTCAGTGAGAGTCGTGTTGTTGTTGGTCAGTGGCACACAGTCACCGCCTTCAGAGATGGCATGAGCGGCTGGCTGCGCATGGACAACGATAACCCCATTTCTGGACGCTCACAGGTGACCATAAAACATACGAGGGATAAGATCAAGTTTCAAACACTGCAAAATACACAATGTACTGGATATATTTTCTTTTAAATGGTAATTTATGGATCTCTTATGGATGCCAGTGTTGGTTTTATTAAAACAGTAGATATATTGCTAAAAATATTCCCTTTAGTCCATTCAGGTAGCTGACCAGCCACAGTCCAAGTAATGATGAATGTTTTTACAGTAATAAAGAATAAAGCACATTTTGTTCTTTTAGGGCCAGTACACTAAGATCACGTTCCGCTCCCCATTGTATGTGGGTGGATCACCGAGTGCTTATTGGCTGGTCAGGGCGACAGGGACAAATCGTGGCTTTGTCGGCTGCATTCAGAGTCTGACCGTCAACAACAAGGCCACAGACATCAGACCCTGGCCTCTGGGCCGAGCTCTGAGTGGAGCTGACATAGGTGAGAAAGCATACAGTATGTGTGTGAGTTTGTGTAATGAGTGTTATTTTTCTTAGGCTAGAGGTTCTGTTTGAATTTGGATGACACCTATTGTCCTTTGGTTAAAGCACCTGGTAGCCACACATTATTTCCTAAATGCAGTGAGAGCCTAACCTATTAGTTGCAAGAAGACGTTTTTGTATTTCTTATTATGTTGACTGTTGGCTCATATCTCCTTGCCACTGTGTGCCAGGTGAGTGCAGCGACAGTGTATGTGACCTGGTCAGCTGTGCCAATGGTGGAGTCTGCTTCGCAAACCGTGCCGATGGCTACATCTGCCTATGCCCACTGGGCTTCAGGGGAGCACTTTGTGAAGAGAGTAAGCCAAGTATATTTTCCTTTTCCTCACACCTAAAGAACACACACTTGTCTTGTTTGCAAGAAGAGTTTTGTACCACTATGAAAGCAGAAAGTCAAATTCTCTGTGGCTGTGGTAGATTGTCACACAGGCCTTTTAAGGTAATTACTGAACAGTTGAGTATAATATGAAGGAAATTGGTTGAGATGAGGATTATTATTTCTTATATAGAGGCAGTGGGATTGATTGATGTCTTTCCCATGTCCATGTCCATTTTTCTCTTTCCCCCCCCCCTCCACTTCACTCTTAAAAATCTTAATGCTTATTTCTCAAATCCTTCTTCTGCTTTCTTGCTCTTTTCTTCTCATATCTTCTCTCCAACTCTCCAGGTTTTTCACTGTCCTCCCCTCTCTTTAATGAGACGGTATTTTCATATGCTGTCATCCCGTGGCCTCAGTCCTCTCAGAGTTATCTGTCCTTTATGGAGTTTGAGCTCACATTTCGGCCGTCGATGCCCGACGGGACGCTGCTGTATGCTGATGATGCAGGCAGCGGAGACTTCCTGGCTATTAACCTGGTGGATAGATATGTAGAGTTCAGATTTGATTGTGGCTCTGGAGGCGCTACAATAAGGTACTAAACAGATGCACACTCTCACTATTTTCTATCTCCTTCACTTTCTCTTAGCTATTATATTGTCTAACTAGATGGCCCATATTGTATGTGATGATTTGTGCTACAGGAGTGAAGAGCAGATCAGTCTAGACACATGGCATGAACTCAGGGTGTCCCGCACAGCAAAGAGTGGTATCCTTCAGGTGGACAGCCAGAGGCCAATGGAAGGGATCGCTGAGGTATTTTGTTTCTGTGTTGCTTAAAGCCACATTATGAGATTCCTGACCACAGGGGGGCAGAAAAACTTTAACAACAAACTCAGCAACAGAATCTTTTAAATATATTCAGCTCTAGACATTATACTATTTGTTCAAACATTTGGAAAAAAACAGGATAACATGATGCAGCAACATTTGAGCATGATGCAAAATTGTCATAATTAACTAATATCCTTCTGTTTTTTTTACTCTTCAGGGAGCTTTCACTCAGATCAACTGCAGCTCGCCTCTTTATGTTGGTGGAGTACCAGAATATGATAAAACCAAGAACACAGCAGGAGTAATAAAGCCCTTCACTGGAATTATTCAGAAGGTATTATCATAACCACACACAGCAACTAACAACATAATTTTATATATTACATATGTAATATAATAGTATATACATTTATATATATACAGTATATACATAGGTCAGTTTTATTTAGCAATAAAGTTTTCTTTGGCATTATTTAACATAGATCAACGTATTTCAAATACTTCATTACGTTGCATAAATGTAGGTCAAAAACACAACGCATATATCATCTTTATAGCAAGATGTTTGATGTTTAATTGAATTTTATACATTCTCTTGCTTCCGCTTCGTCTACATCTGTTTCTTTTATTTTAACCTCCCCAGCTGATACTCAATGACCGCACCATCCCAATAACAACTGGCTCTGCTGGTGGAGTTAATGTGGCGAATTCAGCACACCCATGTGTGGAAAGTCCCTGTGCCAATGGAGGGACGTGCAGGCCAAAGTGGGATACTTACGAGTGTGACTGCCCACTAGGGTATGATGGGAGGCACTGCCAGAAAGGTCAGCCGTAATTAAATGAATAAAATGCTTTTTTCCGAAACTGACTGTTTTAGAATAGTAACTAAATATGTTTGGGGTCTTTTATTTAGTGAGTAAATGTAAATGTACATACCATAACTATTCCAGTAGCAGAACATATGCATCTTCAATAACAGTGTAGAAGAAGGACTGCCATTTCACAATGTGGTACATTGTGATTAAAGAGCATCAGACATAAAAAGGTACCAGATCATAAATAACAGTTTAAGCAGTGTGTGCTTTAGCCACTGTATGTGCTTTTAAGGACTAGGAATAAATCTAAGTCTGTTTTTAGCATTTCTGTCTTTTGTATAATACAACTGAAACATATATAAAATCATTACAATTAACTTTCATTTTTAAAATCTGTTGTAAAGAAGAATGTATTTTGTATAGTATATGGCTTTAACCATGTGGCATGATCTTTTCTCTTCTCAGGGATTAACTGTTTTTTTTCTGTTCTCATGTAATGTCATATAAAATTATATATTGGACAATCTAATCCCTTAAGCCTATCTATGCCTTCTCTGTTTTTAACGCTTTCACTGAACAGAGTGTGGGAATTACTGTTTGAACAGTAAGTTTTCTTCTATGAATTCAGAAAGCCTGCACATAATAATAATCTTAATCTATCATAACCTTTGCAAATACATCTTTCCCCTCATGCATTTCTTCCTCACAGAATCACTTTTAGTCTTGTAGATCAGTCTGTGCAGTGCATGTATGCTGATGCTGCCACCTTGTGATGATATGAAGTAAACACTGTTTTCTCTGCCCAGCGGTTACTGAAGCCATAGAGATCCCACAGTTCATTGGCCGAAGTTACCTGACATATGACAACAGAGATATTCTGAAAAGGTCGGTAGTGAAACAGGCCTGCAAAAGTGTTTCTGGTGTCTTTACATTACATGTTCAGTTACAACTCTTCCTTTAGAAATGTTGATGTTTTTTACCATCACAGCAAAAGTCCTTGTTTTAATTGCAAAACATGTTCAGCAATTAAATTTGTCTTTTTTTTCAGGGTGTCTGGGTCCAGGACCAACCTCTTCATGCGGTTTAAGAGCACAGCCAAGGATGGCCTGTTGCTATGGCGAGGAGACAGTCCAATGAGACCTAACAGTGACTTCCTGTCTATGGGGCTTCAGGATGGTGCACTAATCTTCAGGTATTTGTTAAAATAACAGTTTTGTAAGCTTATCTAGTCCTTACCGAAATATCTGAGTTATAAGAAAACATTTCTAGTACAAGCACAAGTGCTGCTTTCCACAGTGTTGCTCCACCCTGTCTTTTTGACAAAACAGGGGCTAGGGAGAAAAGGGCAGTCTTCAGAGAGAGAAGAAAGTTTAGTGCAAGAAGAGCATGAAGATGATGGAGAGGGACGCTGATCCCACCAAAGGGCAGGGAGAGCTAAGCACCCAGTAGAGGCAGAACTAAAAAAAGACCTGAGCATGACCTGGAAAAGAAGCAGGATTTATCTGGACAGTACCATACAAATGTGAACCCACTGCACCCTTTATAACTAGCTAAAGTCATTGTATCTGTTCCATATTGTTTCTAGTTATAACCTGGGCAGTGGTGCAGCTAACATTGCTGTCAACGGGACGTTCAGTGATGGAAAGTGGCACAGAGTCAAAGCTGTGAGGTAAGTGCTAAAGAAATTATTTTTATGTCCACTGTGGTGATCACAGCACATCTGTAGCTATGTTTTGCTTTCACTTGACTTTACAACTTTCTTGACATTAAAGCTGCGTCTATTGATTTCATTGTCCACCTGGGGGCAGCAGAACAAGCTGTAAACACAAAAGTGGTCTTGCCACATCATACAGTTGATATACTAAACATGTTAGCAAACAGTTGCCTGTTCACACACCCAGCAGAGACGGGCCATAAACAGGGGCGGACCTAGAGGGGTGGGATGGGGTGGCAATTGCCAACATTAAAAAATGTTAGCTACCACAACAGCTACCACAACAGTTTGGTGTCAAATGCTGTCAAATTTAACAAATTGATTTAAATTAATTTTAAAAATAATTATCATTAATATAAAGATCTGTTGTGGCCAATTTTCAGACTAAGTTTAAGTTTGAGGAACAAAGACATGTATTTTGAAAAATTTTGACTTTTATTTGCCTTAAAACCAAAGCATCCATAGAGCTAAGGGAAACTCCATGAACAACCCTTACACATAAACCTTCATTTGATCCATTGTTAATATATAGATATTCATTAAGCTAGTGTAGGAGAGGCAGTTTGGTATTTGTAAACTTTTAGTCCATAATAAAGGAAAAAGCAAGGACAGTCCTAAAGGACTTCAAATGTAGTTTCTGTAATTACTTGTGCATCAAAAAAAAGTGTGATTAAAGTAAAAGCAAATGTGCCATGCCAGGATTTACATAACAGAATATATTTTACTGTTTAAAAATACATTTATTGTTGTTACTCATCTCTTCAGGGATGGCCAGTCAGGGAAGCTGACAGTGGATGACTATGGAGCAAAAACAGGCAGGTCACTTGGAAAGATGAGACAACTCAATATCAACGGACCCTTATATGTTGGTAGGTGGAGCTCACAATTTATAATCCTATAGAGTACTGTAGGCCATTTGCATTGTACATAAAACAATAATTTCTATATTCTCTCCCTCTTATGTCTGTTTTCTTTATATTTCCCCCTGAAGGTGGCATGAAAGAGATAGCTCTTCACACAAACAGACAATACATTGGAGGCTTGGTGGGCTGCGTGTCCCACTTCACACTCTCCACTGATTATCACTTAGCACTGGTGGAGGATGCTTCTGACGGCAAGAACATCAACACCTGCTCCAACTAGAGAATGGCTTCAGTACATGAAGGTCCATTTTAAGCACCATTTTCAACTGGAGTGAACATCTCAACCAGCTGATTTGTCATCTTGAAACTGACTAACCAGCACCAAATGAGTGAAAACTGAAAACAATAAAATTTTGGTCTACCAATTCAGGGCTGACATGGTGTAAACTCAGTTTCTACACATGGCAACAGCAAAAAACGACCAGAGGATATTACAAAGCACAAGTACTCTGTGAAAGGAGAGAAAAGCTTAGTATTATGGGTAATGAGGGTCTTTGAAAAACCTTTTGAAGGACATTTTTTTTCATGGGATGGTTCCAATCGTATCTTAATTTTTCTACTGTAAATCCTTATTTGATTGCTGGAAGAACCAAGTGATCCAAGGGATCAAGAGTCATCACAAGTTTTTCACAAACCTGACTTAGAGCAGCTAGCAGAGATAAACTTCTTTGTAGAGGATTTTGGTCCTAGAGGATTTCTGTTGTTTTTGTTGTTGTGGCATTTGTATTCTTGTTTGTGATGTATTATCAGTCTGTAGACTACATTTTGGAAAGTGTGGTTAACGTCGTTTAAAAAAAAAAAAAAGATTGTTAGATTTGAAGGGTGAAGATGTCAGCTGCACACAATATTGGTTTCTTTATACCTTCTTCTTTTAGTTTACATGCTCCTTTATTCGGAACACCGAGATACTAGTCACATGAGAGTCTGATGTTGACATGGTAAAGCAGCCAAAATCCTGGAGACGTTGTGTGTGACAGTCTGTTACTATCATTTGACACAAAGCACAGCACTGTGGAATTGAGTCTTTAAGTTGTGTTGCTTTGTAGTGTTTATTTTCACACCAGAGAATATAGATAATTTCTCTTCTTTAAGCATTTGCAGTGCAAGATTGTCAATGTAGTGCTTTCTCGTGCTTGAGCTTCACTTTTCAAAAGGGACATTCTGCGAATGTTCCATCTTTTCTACATTTTGTTGAATTATTCTTGGCTGACTTATATTGTGTTGAGCATGTTAGAGGCGGTACGTAAGATCACAAGTTCGTTGCTTTTCGCGACATGGTTTCTCCATCCCTCGTTCTTTTTGACAAATACAGTGGCTACGAGAAACATGTAGTCTGTTCAGGTAATGAGTAATAAAGTGTGTTGACGTTTGCATGTAATGTTGCATTGGAAGAAGATTGATGGATAGGATCGTCTGATCCCACCAATAGGGCTAAGGTGTAGAGCTGTTAAGCATCAGTGTGAGTCAGAACTTTAAAACAAAGACCTAGCATTGGTAGCCTTGGATATATTTATATCAAGCGATTTATTCTTGGTACATGATAACCCAATACAATGTTGAATCCCACTGCACCTTCTTTTTATAACTATGCTTAAAGTCAATTTTGTATTCTTGTTCCATTTATTTGTTTCTCTAGGTTATTTTATCCTGGGTGCTATGTTTGGTGCGAGGCTATACGATCGTTGCGGTGTTCGGAACGGGACGTTTCAGTAGTGATGGAAATGCAACAGAGTCATGCTTGGTGTGAGTTAAGCCTAAATAAAGAGTTATTGTTTGATGTCCATCGGTGTGGGATCATAAGTGCACATCATGTAGCATAATGTGTTTTGCCTTTCACTTGGACTGTTGTGACAACTTGATTCCCTTACATTAAATGCGGCGTCTATTTTGATTTCGATTTTGTTTCTACTTCTGGGGTGTGCATCATAACTAGATCATGTAATACACAGGAAAGTTGTTCTTGCCTATTATGTTCGATTAGTCAGTTGTGGTATTATAGCGTATAATACATGTTAGCAAACAAGTTTCCTGTCTACACATTCTCTCAGTTTTCATGATGACCCATAAAACATGTGGCGGTGACCGATGAGGGGTGATTGGGTGGCGAGGATTGGCTATATTGCCAACATTTAAAAAGAGTGTTTTTATGCGTAAGCCTGACAACAGCATACCTACAAACAGTTTGGTTGTGCTTATAATGCTGTCGAATATTATTAACAAATTTAGTTGAGAAGTGGCAATTTTAAATAATAATGTATCTATTGTGGTGATAATGTAATGGGTGTCTGTTGTTTGCCAATTGCTGTCAGTACTATTAGTTTTTAAGTTTTTATTGAGGGCAGGAGAGACGAATTTGTATTTTTGTAAATAATTTTGACTTTGTATTTAATGACTTTATAAAATCGTAAAGCATTTTTCATTATAGCTAGCTGGTTGATGGGTAAACTCGTCATGAATCAACTCTGCTTTTAACTACATAATCCGGTTTTGATCATTGTGATCCATGTGTTTAAATATATATGAATTCATTTAAGCTAGTGTAGGAGAGGTCATTTTGTATATTGTGATAACTTTTTTAGTTCGAGTATGTATATAAGGGGAGAATGATCAAGAGACAAGGGTCGTTAAAGGTACTTGTCAAAGTTAGTGTTCTTGGAGGATGGACTGTGCATCATAAAAAATAGTTTGAGTTAAAGTAATTTATAGCCATATATGTCTCGGGCCATGTGATTTTTTACATAAACGGAATTTGATGATTATTTTGTTTTCTGATTGTATAAAGTATCATTGTTGTATTGTTTTGTGGTGAGATCTTTCTGAGTCCTTCGTTGGTGAGGAATGTGCAGTCAGGTGATCTGACCAGTGGTTTTGAGTATGGATCGTGTAGAACAAGAACAGGTGCATGGTCACTTCTGAATATGGATGATACTATTATGGTGTTTTGTTAGCGTCAATATCATACTACCCTTTATTTCTATTTTTGTTATTGTCTGATCTCACAAGTTATGGATAATCCTTATTATGTGTATCTTGTGTTACTGGTGAGTGGCGGTTGTGCCATTTTTGTCATTTTGTTACATATGGAAAGCATAGAAGTTTTGCTAATATTAACTCTCGTCTCTGTTTGGATGTGTGTGTGTGTGTGTGTGGTGTGTGTGTGTGTGTGTGTGTGTGAGTGTGTGGGGGGGGGGGGGGGGGTGAGGTGTGGGGAGATGGCGGGGGTGTTGCGTTTGGTTTTTATGTTTTGTTGCGATTAGATGCCCCCCTGAAGGGCATGAAAAGAGATATATCTGTCACACTAAAACAGACGAGATACAGTTGGAGGGCTTTGGTGTCTGCGTTGTCCGCTACTGTCACAGCTCTTCGTGTGCACTGTATTTATGTTCTACTTTTAGCATCTTGGTGGTAGGATGGTCTGAACGGCAAGATCTAACACCTCTTCCAACTAGATGATATGGCTTTCCATACATGAGGTCCATTTAAGCCACCTCGTTTCAAACGTGTAGTGAACACTTCTCAAAGAATGATTGTCATTCTTAAGACTGACTAAACACAGTCCCAAATGAGTTGAAAACTTGAAAACAAAGTAAAATTTTGGTCTAGTCGTTCTCAATTTTCAGTGGCTGGACATGGATTGGGTAAGAAACCAGTTGTTACAGATGGCAACTGAGCAAGAAAACGAGCCAGAGGATTATTATAGAAGCACTATGTAGCTGCTGTGAAGAGGAGAGAAAAGCTTAGTATTTATGGGTAATGAGGGTCTTTGAAAAAGATTATTGAAGTACATTGTTTTTCATGTGATGAGATTTCCAATTCGTATACTTAATATTTTCCTACGTAAAGTGTCACTTTGATTTTGATGCTGGAAAAACCAGTGTTGTAGTCCAAGGGTCAAGAGTCAGTCACTAAATTTGTTTCAGCATACCTGACTTTAGGAGCATCTTAGCGAGATGATATGATACTTTCTGTGTAGATGAGTTTTTGGTCCTTAGGAGGATGTTTCCTTGTTGTTTTGTGGTTGGTGCATTGTGAGTCGTCTGTTTGTGATGCTATATCCTAGTCTGTATGACTTGACATTTTGGAATGTGTGGTTAACGTCGTGTAATAAAAAAAATAAAAAAGATTGTTAGTTTTTGGATGGGTCATGAATGTCAGCTGCACACAATAGTTGGTTTTCTTTTATACCTAGTTTTCTCTTTTTATTTACATTTGCTCCTGTATTCGGTAACACCGAGATTATGCTAGTCACATGAGTATAGTTGATGTTGACATGGTAATAGCAGGCCAAATCCTGGTAGACGTGTGGGTGTGACAGTCGTTGACTTATCGATTCTTTTTCACTACTCTAATGCTCTATGCACTGTGAATTTTGAGTATTAGTTTGTTGCATTTGTAGTGTTATTTTCAACACCAGAGATATATAGAAATTCTCTTCGTTAAGCATTTGCAGTGCAAGATTGTCAATGTAGTGCGTTCTCGTGCTTGTGATTCACTTTTCAAAAGGGATCATTCTGCGAAGTTCCATCTTTCTACTATTTTTGAATTGTTATTTCTTGTGCTGATTTATATTTTGATGTTGATTCCCCCTTCCTCCTTCTGATTTCCCCCCCCT